CATACTACCCTGACAAGGGCTGCTGCTGTGCCTGATTGGGGGGGGGGGTGCCTACTCCCGATGTAAACAGAGCAACGTGTATGTTCCCTGATTCTTTTTTTTTTTAAGATTTTATTTATTTGTTTGACAGGGAGAGACACAGCGAGAGAGGGAATACAAGCAGGGGGAGTGGGAGAGGGAGAAGCAGGCTCCCCGCCGAGCAGGGAGCCCGATGCGGGGCTTGATCCCAGGACCCCGGGATCATGACCCGAGCCGAAGGCAGACGCTCAACGACTGAGCCACCCAGGCGCCCCAACACTCATCTTTCATCAAAAGCATAATACCCTTGGGGTCTAGCCTATGAGGCATACATCATGACCACAATTGCCTTCAGAGTGAATACGCAGATATACTAGTCTGTTATTTATGAAAGAGTTTGGGGATTAATAGGAATGGGGGGAAAACATCAATGAATACGTACAGAGGAAGCAGAAGTAGAGATTCAGTAAACACTGCTCACTACCTTGAGAACGTACTTATCCAAGTAGCAAGTAGACTAACAGGAGTGGTGAAAAGTGTATCCAGGGCATCTAAATTCATCCTCAGGCTGCCTGGGGCCTTTCATTCAAGTAAAGACACTTCATAAAAAATATGCTCCACATTCTTTTTTTTTTTTTTCATTTTTTATTTATTTGTCCGAGAGAGAAAGAGCATAAGCAGGGGAAGTGGCAGGCAGAGGGAGAAGCAGGCTCCCCGCTGAGCAGGGAGTCCGATGCGGGGCTCGATCCCAGGACCCTAGGATCATGACCTGAGCCGAAGGCAGATGCTTAACTGACTGAGCCACCCAGGCGCCCCATATGCTCCACATTCTTAATGTGACTATAACTTGACAAGGTCAGAAAACTACTGTGAAGCACTGTATTTCCAAATCTTCCTGTCACACCTGACAATTACAAAGCAGGGGGTCGAAGGATCTGGGAGAACCGATGCGTTCCCCCTCATTACTAGACACCTGCTATGTTTAAGGCAAGGGATGAATGCTGGAGACAAGAGGACCTGTTAAGACCCCACTTTCATCAGCAACAGCACCATCGCTCACCACACAGGCTAAATGACAAGCATGACCCTCCCTGAGCCCAACAGCAGATGGTCGGGCTCTCTGTGTAGACACAACAGAATCCAAGGTAAAGACCCTACCAGAACCCACCGCGATGGCCCTAGTATGGGACATAGTGGGTGTCCCAGCACTTTGAGATGATCCTACAAGGCAAAACCCCAAGCTTGGAGGTATCAAGGCAGCAAGATGAGAAGGGAAGGCCTCACTGTTCTGGCTTTCAACCACATCCTCCTTAATGCCCGCTCCTGGTCCCCCCACACTTCACCCAACTTCTACAGCTGCACTTTGGGTACAGTTTGCAGCCTGCTGTGCATGAACCAGCCTCCCTGCAGCACTGAGTTACAGAATTCCCTGCATTTAGCCCAGTGAAGTATATAATATAGTAAATAAATGGTATAAACCTGTTAGTAAAATTCAAGTCAAACAATACATTGGGTGCCAATGATTGGGACTGGCTGTCATTGACTTGCAGGCCACGCTCTGTACCCTCACCAAAGTCAAAATCAAACATAAAAGCACTATCAATAATACAATCACTAAGTCTTCCCCTCAGTGCATGTCCCTAAACTGCTGACATTCTCCTAGGCAAGCACAGAGCTGCAAAAGTGAGTAAGAGACAGACCCTGTTCATAATCCGGCCGGAAAGACACAGGGTGAAGAAACACCTGTAGGTCCACAAACAGTTGTAAAGGGGAGAATTCTGCAGGAGCACAGGAGCAGGCCGGGAGCCCACAAAGGGGGGGGATGCACAGAGCAGCATCACGGTTGGGCCCCAGAGATTGTGTGGGACGTGCCCAGCACAGCCTTGGTGGTGAGAAGAGAGGGGTGTTTGAAATGTCAAGGTTAACAACAATTAAGACATGAAATACTCTAGCGGCCAGGATGCTCGGCGTCCATATTTTGACACTGAACTGTGACATTTTTCCTATTATTCCAGCTGGCCTTGCCAGATATTACCACGGGGGTGGGGGTCAGGGGTCGTTACAGATTAGGCTGGGCTTTGAGCAGACTGGCCTTTCTACATGCTCACTGCACTTCTCCAGCAGAACTGGCCCGGCCCAGTCCTGGGTATGGTTTTGAATCACGGATCCTGTTTTCTCAGGATGCAGGGCAGCCTTCCCAGCTGCGGGCTGGAAAGAGTGCCAGCAGACACATCTCCTGAGAGCAGAGGAATAGCATGTCCTCCTCTCCCTGCCCCTTCCACCCCCCAGTAGAGGGTTGTTTGGGGGAGCTGCGGGGCACACGGTGTCCTCCAGGCACCGCCAGGCACCGCCACCGCAGGGCCGGGCAGTGGGAAAACGCCACATGTGTGCTGTTCATGTTTCTGCGTTCCACGTCTTGCCCCAGTTCTTCAACGTTGAATGCGTTCCCATGAAAACAGGATGTTGCTGAAGGAGTTCATCTCCCCACCCCCCTTCTCCTTTCCCACTTGAAATCATGATCCTCTGAACTTGATGTGACTTCTGCAGCCACTAGGGCCTCCTCGGCCAGGAGCCCAGCCGGGAAATGCATGGGAGGCAGAGAGGGTGGCGCCTATGAAAACTGCAAGCAGGAAGCAAATGTAATCCTTGATCCCCAGGAGTTCTCTTGGAATTTAACATTTTAATACTACAGGGTATTTGGTGCTTATAAGAGGGCCCTGGGCCCCATGATCCTCCCTGCCTTGTGGCTTTTAGGAGAGTGCAGGGAATGGGAATGTCCACCAAGAGGAAAGCTCAGGAGCTGAGCACTCTGTGCAAACTGAGCATCTCCACGCCCACCACCTCCCACCTCCCAAATACACCCCAGTCTAAGTCTCTTTGAAGATGGGGGCGGACTGGTTTCCCTGTGTCCCCCAGTGGAGACTCCCGTGCCTTTCACACAGCTGACACTCAATAAACCTTTATAATCTATTAGCAATCACAGTTATCAGGATCATACAGCTGAGGAACTCGGAGGACAGAGAGGAACTTGTACAAGGTCACACAGCAGCAGGTTTCCTGACTAGCGTGTGGGACACCGGCCAGTCTGCAGGGGGAGGACCCGATGGAACCAGCTTTCCTGGGACATCCTAACCTGCGGTGGCCCCGAAGGAGGGCCTACTGGGGTCAGCAAGCCAAAATGCTTGCCATCAGTGCCGAAGCTCAACTCTAGGTCCTTAGGTCTTTGTACAAAGCATATGAAAGCCATATAGATGACCCAATCCAGAATCATCTCATTATGGGTTATTTGATTTGTCTCAAAAAATTAAAGAAAGTGAAACCATATGCTTTTCATTCTGTTCATGATCCTGATCTGATTTTTCCTAGCAGAGCCACAGGCATTTGTAGGACTAAATGGAATTCTATGCCTGGGTGAAACTGTACATTCTAAGAGAATGTCATGCAACAATCATGATTGGGGGAGAGTGAAATGCACCATAAAGATCTGATAATGTTGTTCCTAGGAAAGAGAAAATTAGTTCTGATAAAACAGAAAATGAACTCTCCCCCTCTCACCCCCGCAGCTCAAATATTGATTTGCATGCTATCTGAATTCTTCTGGAAACATAAACACTTTAAAGGAAAATGGATTGTTGTAGCCTGTCTGAAATTATCCAGCATGGGAAATACTGTCCAAGAATAATATTTTAGGAAAACTAGAAGGCCATAAAGGAATAGATAGATGGTAGATAAATAGATAGAAGGAATAGGTGGATGGGAGATGAATGACATATAGCAGAGCTAGATAACACATGATAGGTAGACATACAGATTTCATTATTTCCTTCGGGGAATGAAGGAACAAGAAGCCCTACAACTAAAGATGGTCCTGAAGACCCTGAGAACACCTCCCAACAGGTGGCCCAGGTTGGCTGATGGTGCCCAGTCTGAGACTGCCAAGGCCAAGGGGATGCAAGTGAGTGGGGCAGAGGTAAAGCTGTGTCAACACAGAAAGAAAAGAGACTTTTGCTAATCAATCCCTGTAGAGGACATGCTTTTTGGTAGTTTGTCTGCCCAAAAGGGGCACATTATAACATTTGCATTAAGGTACCCTGTGTGCCAAGGAGACAGATCCAAGTATTGTGGGATCTGAAGCTTCCCTGACAACCTCTTTTTAATTATGAAAATAAAAGTGAAGTGTCTTTGCCAGGACTGTAAAAAGGGGCTACTCCAAGTGAGGATCCTGAGGATGCAGCTTCCTTCACTGCCAGGATCCAGCTTGGCTGCAAGCAAGAGCGACAAGATGAATCAAGGTGGTCAGGGTGGGCACCCTGGCCCTCCGGAAGAGCACACACATACGCACGCCTTCCACTGGTGAACTCCAGGTGCCCTACAGGAGGGCAGGAGCAGCTGGCAATGAGTAAACCGATGGGAGCCCACAGAACTGGAGACAGGGTGCCAGGTGGTGCTGGTGTCTTCAGCACCATCTCTGGATGCCTCTCCAGAGGGGTCTCTCTGCTACTGCCCCTGAGTATGGCTAGATGTGTCACAATACCAAGTAAAAGAAAAGGGGGTGAACTGGGGAAGAGCTTCGGTCCATGAACAAAAGTAATGTGGACTTAATAATCCTAAGGAACATTTAGCCGAAGTGGAGGGGGAGCTAAGAATATGGTTTTTCTTCTCTTCCACCTTTACGCAGAACTGGCTTGGAGGCCAAGAGAGGAGAGATGCACTGAGTCAAACAGAACTGTATTCTGGTAGATTCCATGATGCTTAAAAAGTGAAATGAAGGAGCGCCTGGGTGGCTCAGTCAGTTGAGCATCTGACTCGTGGTTTCAGCTCAGGTCATGATCTCAAGGTCATGAGATGGAGCCCCACGTCAGGCTCCATGCTCAGCGGGGGTCTCCTTCTCCCTCTCCCTCTGCCTCCACCCCGCACCTCTCTCCCTCAAACAAATAAATCTTAAAAAAAAAAAAAAAAGGTGAAATGAAATAAAACATTACCAAGAAGAGCAACCAAATCAGCCATTGGTTCATTGAGGATACCCCCAAAGGTTCCTGAATGAAAATCTTGATCTCTGCATCTCACCTATAAGATGGGTAAAAGAGAAGATAGGCGCTCACCTCTGAGGTTGCTCTGGGGATAGCGTTCACGTGATAGAGAACGCCCCCCACTCCATCCCTCAGGACTCAGGTGGCTACCTCCCAGTCACACGACTTGGACCATCTACCCCTCCCAGGTCTTCACTTCTCATTCTTTCCCGAATCCTCGAACCTGATTTCAATCCCCAGTTGTTTCTCTAACACAGCTCTGTCTGGGACCAGCAGCCCCTTCTCCGAGTGGCTGAGGTCTATGTAGCCCGCCCATCTACCCTTCCAGAAACCGTCTTCTCTTTATTCTTCTCTTGCAATTCTATCGATGTCTCCACTAGTAACTTCCTCCCTGCCTCCCACTCCAGAGCTCAGTCCACGGCTCATAAAAAAACAAATGATTTACCACGGAGGGACTTTCTGGTTCTAAACTGCTGTCAGTATGAATAGAAATGTTAAAGGAAGCTGAACTGGACAATGTGCTTGGGGATCACAACCACCCTGGGCCCACTTTACAGGTAAAGAAACAGGCTGCGAGGTTAAGGTGTCTGCACAAGACCGCACACCGTGGAAGCCAGAGTCCCACGCAGCCAGGCCATGCCAGCGCCCCCCTCCTCCCCCGGACCACACACACCCGTGGGGCTCCTGCCTGAGCGGCAGAGCAGGTGCCGTCCCACTCACGGCAGCCCAGCCCCTGATCAGGCAGGCAGAGTCACAAACCCCTAAATCCTCTCCCTCCAGAAAAATGCACACAGCACAGCCAGTCTGGTTGGGAGGCTTCCTGAATCCCCCAGTCTCGAGACCTCTGGGACCCCAGGCCATGTCTCCAGCTCAGAACTCTGCTCTCCCAAGAGTTTTCTCTCTTCCCACCAAGATCCCAGGACAGACTCCTCCCTCCACACCACTGCGAATACCTCCACCCTGAAGTAGCTGTTTCCTCGTGTGCCGTAAGTGAGGGCTGGCTTCCTCTGGCTGAGCCACAGATTATCTGAAATGACGACATAGTCTACACTGGAAAAGAACCGGTCCTTCTCCTTTCTGACCAGTTCCTCCAGGCCAGCGGAACCGGCTTCTTCCATCCCTTCAATGACGAATTTGATATTCACAGGGAGATCCTGAATCAAATTAACAACAGAACAAACCATTCTGGCAAAAAACTGCACGACTTGACCATTCATCTTTTCAGATCCAGAATTCATTTGCATGTGACTTAAATACACGAATTATTACATACATTCAATGTACGGGTTGTCCACATTCCCAACAGCTCTGTTGACAACAAAGGAGTTGTAACCAAGACAGTGAAGGGGATTACAAGGGAAGACCCTGTGTATAGCCTCCAGCATGACGCTGATGGAGTCAGCGTGGACCCTAACGGATGATTTGGGGAAGGAATTCTTGGAGGAGAAGCAACACCCACACTGTGGAGCTCTCCTGAGCCACCACAGACACAGATGCTTTCCTCCTTCTCCCCGAAAGGAACCTTTCAAGAAAGGTTACTCGATTACAAATCTCTTTTCTGTCCTCATAATTCTGAGTATGATAAATGAGAACTCTTCCCTTTGAAAGACTGTCTAATGTTTAAGCCTCAGGATAATTTTTATTTCAAGTATCTGTTATTTTTCAGCTTTGAGTTCAATCTGCCTTTTAACTTATTCAAAGGCTTTGATCTTGCAGCAAAATGGAACTTGAGTTTTTCTCTAGTTAATATTAGGGCATAGAATAGCTCCTTTAAAATTTTTACAATGTGTCTTTCCCCCATTTGGTTTTGATCTTTTTGTATCTTTATAATTTATAACTTCATATCTTTGAGAGCCACATGAAGAAGAGAGGTCAAAGTCTTTTCTTGGAGCATAAAACACACACAGGAGAACTCCAGAAGTAATTCTATGCAGATAAACGATGGCACAAACAACTAATTAAAACTTAATTAGTTTTAAAGAGTGGGATTGACTCACCAAAGATTAACAAAGGCAGGATGAGTGGAGGATTATGTATTAGAAAGTAAGTGACCTTCGGTCATTCAGTTGGTTAAGGGCATTTGGGGATAATGATTTGTTCAAATGTATCCTTTGCATAGATTTATTTCTATGTGTCTTAAGAAGTTAAGCTAAAATTCTGAAATATTAATATTTGAAAGCTCTTTATTAACATTAACTAGAACACAATTGCTGAGAAGTAGTTGGATAGCTTAAGAAATTTCTGGCAAAACGTGATTAATAAAATACAAGCCAGTAGCCACTACGTGTTGGGGGAGGAGGACAGACCAGCTGCCAGGCCTGGGTTTGGGTGTCTGCTCTGTCACTGACACCCAAGGGACCTGGGACAAGTCACTTGACCTCTTGGCCACTCACCGCCCTACCTATGCAATATGGGTAATAACAGTTGTCTGACTTTTAGTAAAACAATCCAGTGATGTGAGGTGCATTCAAGTGCTCAGTAAGCAACACAGAAAGAGAGGATGGGAGGGCAGAAGAACAGGGAAGAAACCCACCCTCGTAAAGGGCCTCGCACACACAGGCACTGAGGCTCCTCTGTGTGTTACCCCGTTTACTCCTCCAAAATAACTATTCCTAGTTCACAGATTAGGTCAATGAGGCTCAGAGAGATCAACTGATTTGTCCAAGGGCAGTGAACATTTCTTATGTTTTGTTTGTGATTATGTACGTTTCAGAGTTGAAAGTTAAAAAGCAAAGCAGATTTTGGCCTTCATACAGACTCTTTCTTATAAGTATTGCTTTCTCCCTTGGGAGGAAGGGAGGGAGGAGGGAAGGGAGGGAGGAGGGCAGGGAGGGAGGGGGCAGGGAGGGAGGAGGGCAGGATGTTGTCATCTTCCTTATCGTTGTCATCATCGTCATCGACATCACCTTCATTGTCATTGTCATCATCATCATTGTCATCATCACTGTCATCATCTTCATCACCATCATCGATATCACCATCATCATTGTCATTCTAGTCATCATCGTCATCGTTGTCATCTTCATCGTTGTCATCTTCGTCATTGTCATCACCTTCAATTATCGTCACTGTCATCATCATCACCATTTCATTGTTGTCATTCTCATCATCCTAGTCATGATCGTCATTACTGTCATTGTCCTCATCGTCATCATCATCATCCTGTCACCACTGTCCTCACCATCATTGTCAACATTGTCATCATCATTATTGTCATCATCCTCATCCTCATCATTATAATCATTGTCATTGTCCTCCACATCACCATCGTCATCATCCTCACCTTCACTGTCAATGCTGTCATCATCATCATCCATCACCTTTTTTGTCATTCTCGTCGTCATTGTCATCATCATTGTCCTCATCATCATCACCTTCACTGTCAACATCATCATTGTCATCATCAACATCACTGTCAACATCATCCCTTCCCAAACACAACTGGTTACCTACTTCCTCCAGGGATCTGAAGGTGCTCACGGCATTAATCCACGCTAAAACAGGGCCTTTATTGTCTGTTGCTCCCCGTCCGTAAAGTTTTCCTTTAAAAATAGGGGAAGAATTTTTAGAAAAGTACAAACACCTCTGCCAAGTTGAGTGAGTTAAAAACAAAGGTAGTGTTATGGGTAATCATTTTAACATTGCTTTCTATTTTTCTAGACACAAATCTTGCTCTGAGGTCACAAAGTCTGATTTCTTATATAAAAACATTATGGCCATCAGCTAATCAGATAATATAAACTAATTTGAAATATACAGGTCCCTTTGGCCTTTATAGGAAATAGCTATTTTATCCAAGTTCATTGAAAAGGACCTGAGGATTTGTTGCAGAATGTCATGGAACATAGCCTCTCATTTCAAGATTTTATAATTAGTAGAAGAATGAAAAAGGGGTATATGTGTATCTCCATTAACCTTTCTTCTTCTTTTTTTAAAAAACACAATTACATTTAGTATTTAAAAAAGGAAAATGTATGACCTAGACAACTTCATCCTCCCAAGAACTCCCATCTTGGGAGTCAGTTTTGCCCAGGGGCACACATCATGTGTACATAGCTCGTAGTTTCTTTCACAAATGAGAAAAAAGCCAGCCTCATTGGACAGCTGGTAGACTATGAGACTGGTAGCATTTGTCCATTCTTAACAAGAACAGGGTAAGGCCTGGAGCTGGGGACAGGAATCACATCTTCGATTCCTAGTCCACAAAGAACCCAGCACTGATGTGTCACTGACCATCCACTTCCGTCAGCGTGTAAGGGTCTGAGAGCCACCCATCTTCCTGTCTAGCAGGCTGCACATCCAAGTGGCCATAGAAGCACACGGTGGCTTTCTTTGGATCATTCCCCAGTTCGGCCAGGATGATGGGAGGTATCGGGAGAGTCTGACCATTAGGCAGCTGAAAAAAAAAACAAAAACAGATCACATTAAAAAAAAATGTTGTTTAGTTCTCCCAGAAAATTCAGACGTGACATTAGGAGTCCAGTTTCTACCCCTGAGTTTTTTGTAGAGCCCACATAATTTTTCTAATCATCATTTTATGTACCTCTAAAATGGGTACCACGAGACGCTTCACTAAAGCATAAAAAATAATTAAAAGTAAAAGTGCTTTCTTGGATGCATAGGGGCAAACAGTAAACTTAATCAAACACGCTCTCCAATATGAACTCAGACTCAAATGGCTTAAATTAGGCGGACGTGGTTCTGGAAAACACACACCATTCGGAGACTCATCCATGCTGAAGCAGGCAGCACTGGCGCCTGGATTAAGGATCACCATATGCCACCGGGACACAGTAATAAGCAGTGTTTCTGATCAAAGACTGGATCCTTTGAGAAAGGTACATTTGAACATAAGGGAAAGGACGGTTGGGGAGAAATTTGACCCACATGTGAAGGATATGAATGGTACGGGAAGGGGGGCCTCTCCTTCCCTTACCCACCCCACTCGCTCTCTGCTGCCCCCCAGTGCTGCCACGACAAGAAATCAGTAATCCCGACTCGTCTGGGACAAGAGGTAATTTTTTATCTTACTGGGAATCGAGATGATGGGGGCGTTTTTGAGGAGGATCTGATGGGAGCAAGTCCCCGTCTTGCCACGCTCAAGGGCAGGCAGGGCCGATGCCCACAGAAGTGGCAGCTCGTGGCGGGGCGGGGCGGGGCGGGGGGGCTGCTGTCCAACACCTGCTGAACACCCGGGTCCACGGAGTCCACACTGGCTCCCAGGCGCCGGAGCCTGTCCGCAGCCAACGTCATCATTCTGAAGAGCTCCCATCTGAGGCGGGGCTGGGGCTGAACCGAGTCGCTCTCCACAGCCACCCACTCCTTAAGCGTCTGTAAGGAGAGGTGACAAGGTGATTCGTCCGAGGGGGGCCGACCATGTCAATCACGTCCACTCTAGGGGACGTGGCTCGAGGCACGAGGCACCAAATCCCCAGTGCGGGCCGCCTGCCGCGAAGACTGAGCCAGCAAACACAGTCTTCCTCAGCGACTGCAGATGGGCTGGTGTCCTCAAGAACCCAGAGGCAGAGATGTCTGCCTCATGAAGAAGAACAGGGCAGGACAGGCTGGGGAGAAGGCTGCCTTCCTGGACACCTGGGCCTGTGCCTCCTTGGACCCGCCACTTCTCGTTTCTTAGGGACCGGGAGCAACTGGCTGCCAGCCCGTCCTAGGGACTCTGGGCCTCCCACAAAGGCCCCTGGACGCCTCTGGAACTCGTGGCTCAGTCTAAGCAACCACACAGTGGCCTCGGCTGGGCTGCATGGCGCCTGTCGGCTTTGCGGTCGTCCCCCTGCCCCCACACCTCCAGAACCCGGTAGGTGATGTGCCCCAGGGCTACGCCTTGGCTCCTGCCCTGGGTTCGGCCCATTCAAGTTGTATGACTTGCGGATGCTCCTCAGGCTCGTAGCCTTGGCTCCCTCCTCCATATGAGGAGGGTAGTGCTCTCTGCCTGTGGGTCACTGTCGGCGTGAGGATGCCACACAATAAGAAATACCTATTTTGGTCTTCGTCCTGGGCTCTTGGCCAGAGCCCCTACAACCTTTACAACTTCCCATGACATAAACGTGCTGGGAGCATCTTCTGTTCAGAGATTCGGTCTCTGTCTTGGGTTCCTAACACAGAGCTCCTAACTTCCTTGGAATTTCCTGGGAGACGGGAGAATATTTTGTTCTAATGAGGCAGTTCTAGTGGGCTCCTGGACAGGGGCTGGTCACCAGAAAGACCAAGCTGTGATTAGAAGCTTGGGGCTCCCCACCCCAGCCACATCCTCTGGGGAGGGACGAGGGGCTGGAGATGAGTTAATAATCACTCATGCCCACATGATGAAGCCTCCATAAGCATCCCCGAAAGTATAGGGTTCAGAGATCTTCCAGGTTGGTGACTGCAGCCTGGGAGAGTGGCGCACCCCAACCCCAGTGGGACAGAAGGTGCCTCCAGACCCTGCCCTATGTGCCTCTTCATCCGGCTGCTTGTATCTACCCTTTATCATGTCCTTTATTACATAATAAATGGCAAACATAATTAAGTGTTTTCCTGAGTTCTAGAGCTGTTCTAGCAAAAGATGGGACTAGAGCAGGGTTCATGGGAGCCCTGACTTGCAACCGCTTGGAACATGTAAATAAGGGGGTCTCACTGCCTGAATGCGACTGGCATCCACTGTCGGCGGTGGGGGTAGGAGGGTGACACTCACACCAGGCAGGTGGTGTCAGAAGGGAGTCGGACTGTGGGATGCCCCTGTGGTGTCCCGAGAACTAGACAGTTGCTTAATGTGTGGAAAAGGCACACATCTGGCCACAGAAGCGAGGGGAGCCATCAAAGAAAACAAGCATTCCTTTCCGTGAGGATTAGAGATGATGACGTGCATAAGACTTAGCTCAGTGCCTGGCTGCTGGCGGGTGCTCAATGAACTCGAACTAATATTGAATTATCAATAATAATCAATCACATTGATTGATTATAAGCTTGAGTTGCTTATACTGAGATAGCCACCATTTTTATTAAAAAAACTACGCATACTTTGGGTGACTGATCTTGGATTCTCCAACTTATTTTAGTCTGATCTCTGTTCTGGTTGTAGCACTTTAATTTTTATTACGAAGAAATTCATTTAGCCTAAGGAATATTGTGTTTTACACACTTAAACTGGAATTCATAGAACAGATGCTGCCAAGTGGTCCCTAAAGGTAATGGATTGGATACATGTGAGGAAGTTGCAGAGAGGAGAGTTTTGGCTCAAAGACCCAAATCAACGTATCTCCCCCACACGCTGTCCCTCTCCCCCTGCTAATTCCAACCTACAGCCAGAGTCCCCACTCAGTCTTCAAAAACCCAATAGGCATTATGTCAAGTCAATACTCCCACGAGCACGAGGAAGGATTCCATGAAGGTCAAGTCTAGGACCTGCGGCCTGGCCATTCAGCGTTGTGTGATAGCAGGAGACACGAACTCTTGACTGTTGCTAACATTGGCTGGTTGCTCCAGTATACATATACTGAACACAAACTGTGGGCCACACATGGCATGGGGGCTCAGGGGACAAGATCCCGTGATATGTCATGGAGTCCCCGGCTGTGGTGGACTCAACTCACCCATACGCCGGGGGACAAGCAGGTCAGCGGAGAAGAAGGGGACTTGCAGGCTGATGGAGGCTACGGCCCTTCCCTGCGCCCACCCTTCTGCTCCCAGGCCTCCCTCTCTCCTTGCTCCTAGCCCTCCGGCTCCATTCTTCTCCCCCGAGATGTCTGCCCACACCACGGGCAGTTTGCCACGTAGTGAGTTCGGAATGGAGCAGAGGATTATAAGGGAGGAGATAAAGTGCACATTGCACAAGGACTACAAAACAGCTTTGACATTGAACTTGGCAGAACTCTGGACCTAAAGCTTGCTGTAGCCAGGTGGTATTACTCTGGGATGGCGTCATGGGGGGTGGGGGTGGGGGATGAGTCGCAGGAAGGCTTTGCAGGAGGAGGGGACCTCAACAAGGGCCCCTCTAACGCGGGGCATGGGCACTCTGATGATGGTCCAGGGTCAGCCTGAGCTCAGCGGGCATCATCGCTACCCAGACAGTCCTGATCAACACGCTAGGAATGCCCTCTCTAGGAGGAAAGGCTGCAGACGGATCTCTTCCCTAAATGTAACCAAATATTTATTAGTTTAACTCAGTGAGGAGCCATGGGCATTTTAAATGGAATTAAGTTTTCAGGCAAAAAAAAAAAAAAAAAAAAATCCACACCTCCCAGCAAATAAGCATTCACCCAGATACCCAAAGGGTATGTCATGCAAGCATTTTGTGGGTGTAGTTTCTCCTACCTGTACAAACTCATTCTGATGGAGATCGATGTACTGGAAGGCCTTCTCCAACAGCCCAGCGGGTGGGGAGGACGGAGAGAACATGCCTCTCTCAAGCAGCAGCAGGGAGGCAAGGAGAGAGGACACCTGGAGTGGGCCATAGGGGAGGGACAGCAAAAATAAATACCGGATTTTGGACTTTCAACCTTTCAAATAATTCAAGAAAGCTTATGTTATCCAACACAGCTGCTTCCAGTCATTTGGACTAAAATAACAAAGGTAGTAGAACAGGAAAGATATCCTTTGCTTTATCTTCACCGAAATGCTTCATTTTCAACACTTAAGAATTTCAGTAAGACAGAAACCAAGAAAACAAGCCCGTCTCTCAACGTCACGCTTGGGTTGTTCCTGCCATGGAATCGTTCCCATCGGCTCTCGTCCTGAGAAGGTAAGTCAGCGCCCTACGCCCAGGTGGCAGGGGCAATATTTGTAAGAGAGATTAGTGGGAAGCACTTCAAAACAAAACAAAACTTTTCTGTATGATCAACCAGTTTATTAGAAAAAAAATATTTGGTAAGGACTCTCTAAAATCCTGTGTGGTCTTGTGCGTTTCTCCCATCGCTCCTAAAGGTACAGGGCCTTCCACAGAAACTCCCAAGCCCTGTTGCGATGCAACACGGAAGGCCTGAGGCTCACGTGGACACTGTTAGCGACGCTCTCGTCTTCCCGCAAACCCTTCTGGCCTCTCTGCTTCCATCCCTGAGGGGGCCCTAACTGTAAATGTGGGACCTGCCAGAGACCCCGGCCTCCCCCCTCCTCCCTCCCCCGCGGCCCCTTTCCACCATCCCTCCGCCCCCATGGTGGGCTCCAGGCTGGGCTCAGAGCAGAAAAACTGGGTCCAGAGGAGGGTAGGCTGACCAGGTTCCGAGCTAAACTAATGCTCTTCTTCCCGCCCAGCTCTTCCTTCTGGATTGTTGTACATTTTTACAATAGAACCATTTTAGATGTAGGCTGCTTCCTCCCTTGGCCTCCGCTTCCAGGCCGAGGTGAGGACTTGTGTCTACAATACAGAAACTGCAACTCAATAATAAAATACAAATTAACCCAGTTTAAAAGTGGGCAAAGGATTTGAAGAGACATTTCTCTCACCAATGGCCAATAAGTACGTGAAAAGATGCTCAACCTCATTAGCCATCAGGGAGATGAAAATCACTTCACACCCACGAGGACGGGTTAAAATGGAGAAGTCCTACAACAGGTGGGGATGTGAGGCGGCGGCCCCTTCCTGGGCAGGCCCCCGACTGCATTCCTCCTGGCAGCCGAGAGGTAGAGCTAATCCAAATGACCATCCACGGTCGAGCGGATACATAAGACGTGGTGGCCACACACAAGGGGATGTTGCTCAGCCACGAAAACAGATGGAGGGCTGACCCACGCCACGGCACCAACGAACCTTTAGCACACGGTGGAGTATGAAGGAAACCGGACACAGATACTGCAGATGGTATCAGCCCATGTATGTGGAATGTCCAGAACAGGCAGATCCTGAGACGGGGGACCTTGCAGGCTGCCGAGGGCTGGGAGGATTGGGGGAAATGGGGAGCGAGTGCTGATGGGCAGGGGTTCTTTCTGGGTGGCTGGAATATTCTGAAATTGTGACAGCTGCACAACTGGATATACTGAAAGCCATTGGAGTGTGCAGTTGAAATGGGTGAACTGTAAGGCATGTGAATTACAGTGCAATACAGTCATTATAAAAATAGCAATCATAAATAGAAGCACTCATTCAATACTATATCACCAAGTTGGAGAAATGCCCATAAAGGAAGCCAAGTAGTGGGTAAAAATAAGGTAAAAAGGGGTGCCTGGGCGGCTCAGTAGGTTAAGCGTCTGCCTTCAGCTCTGGTCATGATCCCAGCGTCCTGGGATCGAGCCCCGTGATGTCGTCAGGCTCCTTGCGCAGCGGGGAGTCGACTTCTCCCTCAGCCCCTACCCCTGCTCATGCTCTCTCTCTCTCTCTCTCTCATAAATAAAATCTTTAAAAAAAAAAAAGGTAAAAGGGAGCCGGGCTCATTCATGAACAGATTAAGAACTTAGTCCAGTAGATGGTGCCAGTGGGCCGTTGACAAGCTCCCTTTGCCTTCTGTTCTGAGAGGAATGAGGCTGGATTCAGCTAAACTCAGCTAAGCAGAGCCAAAAGCCAAAGGTTACAAATAAATCCCAAGGAAATGAGTCCTCAGACCCGCACTGGCAGGAAGATGGAGCTCTGGGCACCCAGGAAAAGCCCTTTGAAATGGAGTAGGCTAATTTTTTGCAGCTGATACACCTAAATCAATATTTGAACTTTTATTATTCATTTGTTCAATTTCCATTAAAAATTATTTGATGCTCCTCTCTGATAAAAAATAAAAAGGGGAATTTGAAGAAGAAAAGGGAGCCACGGGCAAAGAAGGAAAATGGTGACCGCAAGGACCGAGAATATTTCCAGTGTCAGTGGGAATGGCCTCCTTCCCAGTGGGAGCTGCAGGCCAAGGACTGATCTTCCAGAAAGACTGTTCCTGCACACTTCACCCCTCACTTCCCCCTTCCTGCAGAGCCGACAGAGCCCTGCTGTCCTTCGCCCTCAGGCCCACGGGGATTCACTGGGCACCAGCCCCGCCTTTAAGATCCTGGGTGGGACCCAGGCTGCAGATCGGCCCCCCCTGGAGTTTCTCATGTTCCTTTACCTTTCCGCTTGTCTCCTTGTGTTACAGTCACGCTTGACCTTGAACTAATCACCCAACAAAATTCTGTAGATATAGAAAGTTGCCAGAGAACTGGAAGGTGAAGCATGGGGTCACGGGGGCAGAGCCGGGAAGGCCCTGGGCTTCCTGTTTTCTTGGGGAGAGCAGGTAGCCCAGCCCTGTGGGGCCCGTCCCAGACGAAACCTTTCTTGCTCCACAGGCTTCTGCTAATTCCAGCTGGTTGTTCTTTGGGAACAAATTTCCTAGAGCCCCTGTGCTGAATCTTAGTTTTAAACACTTTACCTTTTAAGACTTCTTGAAGTTAGGCCCAGGTCTGTGGTGTAACCGCCCCTGGGCCCCAGTCCAGCTCCACCTCCTTAGAGCCTCCCCACCCCCCGCTACTGCCAAGCGTCCCCTGGGATGCAGGCCTGTTTTCACTGTCCTCTCCCAGCTCCAGACAACTGGACAAAGTTAGATGCTCCGTCTGCTTAGCCGATGGCAGCCTTGAAATCACCATGGGCTGCCTTCAGAAGGGCACATCCACCTGGAACACAGCAGGTGCCCTAAAAGGGGGCTGGGAATGGGGTAAGCTGTTGATGAAACCCACTCCCTCCCCATTTGCTACTGTTGTTGGATTTTGAAGTTGACTAGAATCAATAGAAAATGAAAACAGGGTTGCCTCCCACCATAGACAGCCTGACTGAGCTGGCCTCCCCCACAGGCACACAATGGCCAGAGGCCAAACCCTTTTCTGCCTGTAAGAAACTTTAGTGCCAGAGTCAACCTGCACACCAAGAATTCTACTTACCGAGTCTTCTGGAGTCCAGTGTGATTGTCTTACAGAGGCTGATCTGCCCGTGTCTGCTTGGATGGATTTGTTATAGTGCAGAAAAAATGCTTGAGTTGCCTACTTTATTTCACTATGACAGGATTAAAAATAAAATCCCAACCCCAAACCAGGCTTTCCTGGAATGTGTTAATTCCCCTGCAGGAGCTGAACTGAACTCAGTGATTCTGCAGAGATTAACTAACTCCTCAACAAGTCCCTAGAAGCCTGAGCAAGCCCGGGGCGTGGCTTTCGGAAGGCAGCCTGGAGGCGGTCTAGGATGAAGGAGAGGGTTTCAAGGAGCAGAGCTCCCCAGAAAGTCCCCAGAACCGCCAGTTTCTCCACCAGAGAGGGCCAGAAGCCAGGGAGTGGAAGAGGAGCTGGGTGCGGTCCTGGGGCGCAGGTAGGACAGGCAGGAAGCCTGCCCCCGGTGCCCTCGGGGGCCCAGGCTCCATACACAGTGCTCTAAGTGCTCTATCCTGGCCACTCCCGACTGCTGGGGTGCATGTTCTCTGCCTCCCTATGGTCTTCGCCCCACGCAGGCCGCAGGGAAGGAGAAAGCAGGCATTGTCTGCCCGTGATGTCACCTCAGAAAGGCCTCTTGTGACCCTTTTCATTCCCTCCAGTCTGGCCAGGGACCTGGGCCTGTCCAAACATCAGCTGGAGAGGCCGTCCTGCTCTGCGCCACTTCCGAAGCCGGCTGCCCTCTGGAAACGGGCCGGTTCACAGCGCGACGGCAAACAGCCGGAGAAGGGGTGAAGGAGAGAGCCAGAGGCCTTGCAGGCCTGCCATGTCGCCGAGGTCACGGCCTGAAAGGCGCAGTGCCCTGACGGCAGCGTCACCCGTGGAGCTGGAGGGTCTCCTCAAAGGCAAGGACCGAGCGCCGGGCGTGGCCTTCGTGCTGAGGCTGAAGGGTGTGAAGCCCAAATCATCAGTGGCGCTGTGCCCGGCAAGGCCCTCGTCGTGTGCTGAGATCGCCCGGCTGTGGTTAGACGGGAACCACTGTTTTCTCTTTCTTCCTTTAAATCTCATTTGGTGGACTTTTCGTATGAGTGTGAACAGGATAAATCTGAACCACCTGCAGGAGGGACTGTCTGCTCTCAGGGCACAGCAGACGAAATCGGGGTCCTGGCCGCAGCGGAACAGAGAAGCATCTGGAAGCTCCAGCAGGAGGAGGAGGGAGGCGGGACGAGGGCGGTGTGCACAGAGGAGCCGAGGAGACCCGATGGCCCGGGAGCGTAAGGCAAGGGCGGACCCCAGCCCGGGCCACCTCTTGCAATAGCAGTACCGCAGGCTGTGAAGAAACAGTTCCACAAACGGAAGTTCGGGAACAAAGGCAGCCCGAGGAGAGGGCAGGAACGTCCACCCCCATGTTAGTTCCCTAGGGCTGCCGGAACAACGTCCCACAGGAACGGATTCTCCCAGGGTTCTGCAGGTCGGAAATTAGAAATCCCTCTGAGGGCTCTAGGGGAGTCCCTCCTTGCCTCTTCTCAACGTGCGGAGTGGCTGGCCATCCTGGGGGCCCCCGCCCCCCGCTCACAGGTGCACGGCCCCGATCTGAGCCTCTGGCTTCACCTGCCTCCGCCTGGGTGTGGCTCCGCGTCCCCTCTCTTCCCAGAGGGACACTGGCAGAGGCTTTAGGGTCCATCCCACCCCAGTATGACCTCATTTTAACTGATTACATCTGCAAAGACCCTACTTGCAAATAAGGTCACATTCTGAGGGCCCAGGTGGACGTGAATTTTGACGCAGGCCACCCTGCGCTTTATTTTACCCCATATTCTATTACGTGTTCACTTCATAATGATCCGACTTGCTTGAAGGTAAGTCGTAGGAGGGCTAGGGCTTTTGTCTCCCTTACCTCCCTAAGTGCCTGTCGCAGACTAAGACCCCAGTCAGCTCCTAGGGAACAATTACGTGCAGAGTCCTGAAGGACACCAAGCGTACTTGATCTCCACTGACGTCACAACTTCTATCTCAACACTGTGTAAAAAAGCAAAATTGGTCTATTTCAGCTATAACATGAATAAGGGAAATGTAAATGTAAATTTGGGCAGATTTTGTTCCCTCCCGGCAATCTCAAGAGTCTCAAGGGTTTCCCGAAAACCCACACTGGATGTGTTCCTCGTTCTGCGGGAGGCTCTCCTGGCCTCTGTCCCCGATCCACAGCCTGGCAGCCCCGAGTTGTGCACCCGCACAGTGCACACCAGCTGCTGCAGCCCCCGGGGCCCTGTGCATGCCGGGCACCCGCAACCAGCACACCCCCCGCAGAGCATCGTGGCCGACGGCACCCCTCCTCCCCTAAGGGATTTCGGATTTCCTCTTACTCCTCAGCTTCACTGTGAGGTGTCTGACATACTGGTACGTCTTGCTCAATCCTCAGCATCCATTAGCAAACTGAAGACTCCTTTGTGTCTTCGTTTCTTCGGTAAAATTCTCCTTCTCTCTCCCAGCGCTGCTTCTCTGCCATTCCCTTGACTCTCTTTCTAGAACTACGACCATGGGCGTCTTTCAATCTGTCATGTGTTCTCCAATTCTCTCAACTTTTCTTTTTTTCTTCTTTCCTCTCCGCTCTGCTTCCTGGACACGGTGTTGTGCAGGTGACTAGGTCTCTCTTGGGGGCTAGTTATGCATTTACCTGAACTCCTGAGTTTTTCCAATGACTAATTTCCATTTTCAGGACTTCTAAGTGGTTGTGTTTCATACCAGTCTGTTCTTGACTCATATATGCCTTCCGCACGCAATCATCCATCTCTTGAAGAATGTAAACATACATCATTCGCATCCATTTTAAGCAAGTTCTACTGTTTGTATTTCGGAGGCTATGGCCTCGCTTCTCCGTTAATCTGTGGGCTTTCTTCCTGTGGGTCTTAGGTACTTCCGGGTCATCACTGGCGGGCCCCACTTCAGTGACAGCCGTCCTATTCTCCTTCTCCGGAATGCTTTCTGCCTCGGGCTGTCATGGCTGCCTCCTCCAGGCGCCCCACAATGCCTGGTCCACGATCGGGTCTTAAGCAGGTGGCTTAGCGTTCGTTCCCAAACAGCGTGCAGCGGGGCTGGGATGCACCACCGCAGGGGCTTCTGCAATGGCTCCAACTGCCGTCCATGCCCGGGCACTCTGGGACCTATGACCCTGCAGGAGTCTCACTCCTGGACGCCACGGCCTGTTGTAGACCCAGAGTCCAACAAAGCAGCAGCCTCAGCCCCTGCTCCCCACTGTAAGTTTTTTTTTTGTTCAGTAGGGATATTTATTGTGTTTCTGAGTCCATGTCTTTGTAATCAAAAATTTAAAGCACATGTAATTGGGGTATTTGAAGCGGGTGGGAGCCTTGACCAGAAGTCCCTACAGTGATTTCCCTTCCTAGAAGGCAAGGGCTCCCCAGCCTCAGTGTGCAGTGCCCACATGCAGACTCCCTGGGAACACGCCTCACCACACACTTTCCCAAATCTAGGGGGATAGGATCCGCATGAAGAAAAAGCTCCCTGAAAAGCTGTGTGCTCCAATGACTGTGCCTGAAAAGGCATAAACATCCATGTCCTGGACACCCTCAGCCTCCAAGACGAGGACATGGGATATATTAATAACTGTGGGCCCCTCACCATGAGCTCAGGATGTAAACCAAGGTGTGCGTCAACAGGGGCTTTGGGCTCTGTGCTGTTGCCCCAGACCAGTGCTCCTGCAGAGACCCTGGGCTGCACGCAGTACAAGGTGGAGTGAGGCAACAAGGTGCCCCAAGCAACCTGTAAAGCTAAAACCTCTTAGTACAGCAGACTCAGGGAGCCCAGGGCACTGGGTTGCTCCTCATCCTACAATCTTTGGGAGGTTCCACCTGTGCACACTTCCCCCCCTCCACCTGGGCACACTCCGCCCTCCACC